GACTAAAATTTGGGTTAGTTTAAAATTTAGGTTGGATAATTTCCCCTGAGGGGGGGGGGGGGTTTAGTGGGGGGGTTTTTTACAGGAGTGTTTTTTGGGGATTAAATGGGTTTAAAATTTTGTTTGGGGGGAGAATTTGTAAAGGGATTGGTTGGGAAAAGGTGTGGTGTTCTCCTTTTTATGTTTTTGTAAGTGTGGTTTACATGGGGGAAAAGGGGTTTGATATGTGGATTGACACAAGTGTGGGTGTAGCAGGGTTTTGGAATGTAGATAGGGTGGTAAAGGCCCCTAGTTGGGACAGGTGCCAAGTGTGGTAGTTTGAAGTTGGGGTGAAAATAGGGGGAAAAGGTGCATGTGGTACATGGGGGGACAGTTTTTTAGCATAGTGTGGTCAGGTCACTAGGTGGAAACATAATGTGGTAAGTTTAGCACAGGGTGGAGTGTTGCAAAGTGTGGTATTAAAAATTACTTGGAAAGTGTAGCACTATGTGTGTGACCTATTTTGGTAGTGTGCACTAGTGTGGATAAAGGGGTACTTTTGGGGTGGTTACAGTTTTTAAAGCATGGTGGGTGTGTAGCACTACGTGTCATGAGCACTGTGGGGTAATTTTGGTAGCAATTGTGGAGTGTAGCACGTGTGGTAAAGTGTAGCATAGTGGGGGTACAGTGTGCCTATTGTGGTAGTGTAGCAATGTGGAAATTTTGTAGCACTAGTGTGGTACTGAACAAGGGGGTTTTAACACTTTTTTTTGGTTAAGTGTAGCATAGTGTGGTAGTGTGCACTAGGGGGTTTGTGTAGATATGTGGAACGTGTAGACTAGTGTGGTAGGTACACTACTGTGGTTTGTTTGCCCTGTGTGGTAAAGGGGAAAGGCATATGTGGTACGTGTAGCCTTTATGTGGAGTGTAAATTTGTGGTAACAGGTACCGTGTGAAAAGGTACCAATTTGTGGTAGTGTAGCACTAATTTGGGGTAAGTGTAGAAATGTGGGGACAGTGTAGCATAGTGTGGTATGTGAAATGTGGTAAAGTTTTAGCCAGTGTGGTACGTTTTAACAGTGGGGTAGTGTAGCCCTATGTGGACGGTTACCCCGTGGTCGTGTACACTAGGGGGTTTAGGTAAGACTATTTGGGGTACAGTTTAGCACTGTGTGGGTTTTTTAGCCTATGTGGTCGTGTAGCACTAGTGTGGTTTTTGTAATACTGTGGTCAGTGTAACTTTTTTTTGGTATGTAGCACTTTGGTAGTGTAGCATATGTGGTAAGGTACAATAGTGGTAGTTTTTCACGGGGAAAAGGAAGCCAGTGGGGAAAAGTGTCACAGTGTGTCAGTGTAGAAAATTTGGGGTTTGTGTACATATTTGGGTTTTACAGTGTAGCACGTGGGTAGGTAGCACTATGGGGAAAAGTTTTTAGCCCGTTGTACAGTGTAGCACTGTGGGTCAGTGTGCACTAGGGGTACAGTGTGCACTAGTGTGGTACAGTGGCCTAGTGTGGTACGTTGTGCCAAGGGGGTGTGTGCACTTGGGGTACATTTGTAGCATAGTGGGAACAGTTACCATAGTGGGGGTACGTTTAGCAAGTGTGGTACGTGTAAAACTGGGTTTTACAGTGTGCACAGTGGGGTACGTGTGCCTAGTGTGGTAGGACCTTTTTGTGGTACAGTGGCACGGGTGGTCCGTTTTAGCACTAGGTGGTACAGTGAGCATACTGGGACGGGTTTTTAGCACTACTGTGGACATGTTGGTGGTACATTTGTGCACGGGGTAGTGCTGTGTGGAACAGTTACACTAGGTGGTTTAGAGTGTTTACATTGTGGTGCACTTGTGATGCAGTGTCCCCTGTGGGTGCAGGTCCACTAGAGTGGTACGCTTGTGGGTAGCAAGTGTGGGCAGTGTACCCAGTGGGAGCATGGGTGGGGTGCAGTGTCCCAGGTGGGGGACGCGGGGGGTTTAGCATGTGTAGTGCACTGTACCATTGGGGGTGAGTGTCCCCTATGTGGTAGCGTTTGTGGGGTGCAGTGTACCCTAGTGGGGGTTTAGCGCTAGGGGGCGGGTTACCATATGGGGTTCCGTGTGTGCTTTTTTGGGGCAGTGTCCATGTGTGGAGGCTAGTGTGGTTAGTGTCCAACTAGTGGGTT